TCGCTATTAGCGCATGTTCAGGGTGGAGAATCCTTGTTTCGTTTCCCTACTTTAAATATTGTAATGCCTTCGATATTGCTCCTTCTTCCTCCTCACTCCTTCCGTAAATGGATATCACCCTCCTTTCTGCCCGATAAATTCTATGTCGTTACTGGGAACTAGGAAGCGGAACAAGACCCTTCGATGGTCTACTTTTTGGACGTGTCAGAGGATAAAGGCGTGTCGTACCAAAAGAGAGAAGCAAAGAGAACGCGGCAAAGAGGAGCAAAGGGACCAGTATTGGCTCCGAAAAGTTCATCTCTTAGAACATTACGATGAAAAAAAAACCGTAATGTTCGTATTATAGCGACAACTTTATTTCCATGGTTCTTCAATTTCTTTTACAAAAATTTCTAATGCGTGCATACACACACAACCTGTATATTTTTCTTGTATATTTTTATTTCTATGTAGGAAAATGGATAAATCCTATTTTTTTTTCGTTAACGTATAATTTTACAAATAAGTAAATGTATACGTATATTTCTATATGTTATTTATGTTATTAATTATTTTATACTTTTTAATGCATGCTTTTCTTATAGTAGATATTCCAAAGAATATTTTAGTATAAGAATTGATTTATTTATTTTTAATATGTTTAAAATTAGTTTAAAACTAACTGTGCTCCGGGTTTCCCTACTGATAATACTGATTTAGTTCCAAAGTTCTCGTTTAGCCTGTTATAGGAATATTTTAGGTTGCACTAAACCATTTCCGTTTGTGGGAATCGTGTAGTTTTAAAGATTGGGTCAGAGATATGTTTCAACTTTCCCAGAGTACGAAAGGACCACCGGAGGAGTACGTACAATTGCGTAACCTGGGTAATTGCATATCATATTATCCTCCATGGCCTCTGGTAACTGACTCTAATAACTCATATCAATTCCTGTTAGAAAACAGCGCAGGAAGAACATTTATCTTTTGTTTAAGAGTTAAAAAGGGCGTTGTAACAAATTGCACACATCGATTTTGAATCGAACGAAAACTTTGCGCATAATGAAGTTTTTATATCGAGAAATAGAAGTTCCAGAAAAATATTGAGATAATTGAAGTTGTTTAGAGAACAATGTTTTTATTGAACGCCAGTGTTCATAGCGCAACTATCTACCAGCTGAGAATTAAGTGGAGAAAGATTGTTCAAGCGTGCCTTCGATTGCTCTTGCGAACCTACGCGCGCAAACTTCGCGAGTATCTCGACGGTAGCAAGAGTGGCGGTTGTTAAACTTTCTACTTCTATCGCGATGTAGATACTTCAGGATGCTGTTGCTCAAGTTCGAGGGTTGCTCAGCGAGCAGGTTAAAGAGGATTCTTACCTAATTCCGTTTGATTACATTCGCACTTTGGACGCCCCGGCAACCATCAACCGCGGAAAATGCATAGCAATTCCACGCCTGCTTTCTAGTACTAGTACTCGCGAAAGGGTTATATTGTAATTTGTACAAAACATTCTACCGCCTTACTCGCTCTGCGAGGGAATTCCGTTTGAACGTTTGATCCACGACGTGAAACAGGTCGGGAGATTCATCTAAAAGATGGTTCGGTAAAATGCGTCGTAGGAGGAAAATCTTCGCGGTGAAAACACGCTTCACCGCCAGTTGAATGTGATCAGTCGAGAATACGAATTTTCAAGTAATATCAAATAGACATAAATTTATAAATCAAAAGAATCCTTTCCTTTAACGAATAGAGCGTAATTATCACAGTTTTATCTTTTTTAAAATTGTTAAACTTTTAGTCGAAAATAACATACGTTGTTATCGACACGTTAATTATTGTAATATTTTGAATCTTATTTTTTTAAATACTTTAATACTTTATTATATTTTTTAGTAGTTAGCATATAAGACACACACACACACACACACACACACACACACACACACACACACACACACA